TGAGGGAGGACGAAGAGTGTTGGAGAGCGATTCGCCCCAGAATGGTTGATACACTTCGTTCGTAAGAGCTTGCTAAGAGAAGGGACGGTATAATCTCGAAGGGAGCGTTCCCCAATTTGGGACTACAGTAGGTATTATTTTTATCTATCGACCTGAGCGAGGAATGGAACGAGAATAAGGTGGAAGTTCGCTTTCCACGTATACCAGATGTCCAGGCATTCAGATTTTCGACAACCATCGGCCTTCGGAGATACATGCTTGCCCGTCGGCGATACCATCTCGATCGACCGGGATTCAGGCTATAATGAGACGTCCTCTTCAATACCAAGGTAGCCGTACCTCGACGATCGCGGAAAGCGAGAGGGACCGATATATATATGCGCGAAATTTCGGCGCATATATGAGTGCTGAGGAAGTTCGGATAGTGATACCTGACCAGAATAAGGTTGATTCATGAAAGTGTCATGATTCCTCCGATGGAAGTCAAGTCTTGGCAGGTCTTGTGGCGGCTCCCAGGAACATTCGTATCATTGATCGGATCCAGATATTTTCGCTTCATGAGGCGCATTCATGTTCCCGCATCCTAATTGATGTGCCGCAGATGATTAGAAATCGATCCCGATCCTTGGTGGTCCCCGGAATTATTTGGAGTTGACACCGAATCAAGTCAAACTTGGTGTCATGGATCGATACATGCCGATGTCAAGAAGCTTGCAACGCGAGCGCATAAATTCAAGTCCAAACTCTGCGCGTCATGAGAAGGAAATACGATCATCGCTGCGGCGCCGTATATTTCTGCCCATTAGCTATGATTGTAATAGAATTCCCCATCAGATCTGCAAATCTGACAATTTTCTCATCTACTCCGCCAGAGTACAAGCTCTCCTCGATTGCGAAGATTTCCGCTTGTTGGGAATTCTTTCAGTGTTCCATTCGGTACCATTATTTCTATCTACCGTGTGTTCACTCGCGTAAAGCGTGATGTCTTTCTTGCAAGCACCCGATCCTTAAACTGGGATTCCCACTTCCTGTTTCCAACCAATCTAGAAACTGGTATCCTCAGTACCGCCCTCCACCACCAGGTTCTCTCGCGGCCTCGAGTTTTGGCGCTCCTCTTGAATGATTGACCGATCGCGGTGAAGTTGGAATATACGGCGCCGCATATATTTCGCATGCTCCCTTCACCGCGCACCCCAGAGGGCTTTCGCGGAATGTTCGTCGAATGCCGCTGCTGGTTATCTCAGTCAGCAGGAAGACTCCAGGGAGGTCTTCCCCCGATGTGTGACTCTAGAAGCTCCTAATTGCGCTGTATGGCTTCCAGTATCCCATCCACAAGTTCCGTCTCAGTTGTCTTTTGACCGATACTCTGTGTCTTGGTGCGGCGACCTAGGAGGCAGTCCTACGTCAAAATATCAAAATGATAATACATAGAAGGCCATTCGAGGAATTCGGTCTCCGAGTGTCATTCTGCTATGTCTCGAGTCTCTTCCTCTTGTTCTATTCGCAACCAGTCGGGCACCGCCGTTGGCCCTCTTTTTCCAGCAGGAACGTGATCGCATAATGACTTGAAATCGTGCTGTCAGAAGCAGCCTCCATCTCCTAGTGGCTCACCATTGACGGCGGATCGAATGGGATCTAAATGCGAAGGGAAGCCATTTGGATCTAAATGCCAATCCGCTCGCGTCATTGTTATCGAATCCTTGGGGCACTGATGTGGCGTCGAGCCATCCCGACCATCCTTCGTGCTTGCTTAATTTCGTTCTATGAAACCCTCCATCCTGTGTGGCTATCCTCATCAGAACGCACTCATGAACCCAGAGCCATGGTGTCATCGAGATGGGTTCCACTCAAAATCGTAGTCGGTGATCAGAACAAATATTTACTCCATGTGTCGATCGCTGCTGGGCTGCGGCGGAGGTCTGCCAAGAGTTGGCTCGGAACGAGCTTGGAGCGCGACGGAACTTCGGTGTCCGAGACCTCGGTTGGTGATACCTATCGACAGGCTTGATGGATCGTGACTCCCGTGATGTTTGAGCCTGTCGGGCGGGCTATCTGTCGTGCGCCCCCATTCCAGGAAGGCCATTCCCCGCAGGTCTACCCCAGAGCAGCGTGCCGTAGCAGATGAAGAATTTGGTCCCGCGGCTTCATCATTGATAGGTAGAATCCCGACGGTCACGTCATCCACAGAGGACAAGACAGGGATTGAGGATTTTTGCCGAAAACTGGATCGGATCTGGGAGCAAGATTCAGGTGACGTAGGCGGACAGGCAAGTCATTCGCCCGGATGATCCGTCGGACTCTGTCAGACTCGCGGCGCGGCGTTCACATCCGCTCGGTCAGCTCTGAAGCGGTTGCCCGAAAAAAGCTGCTCCGCCGCTCCTACCTGCCCTTGGCCCCTGGTAGAAGGTCTGACAAAGACCAAGAGAAACTCATCTGGACCCACACCTAACGGGATCTCCACTCGTGAATGATGTTTTCTGCGAGAGACATGGGACTCGCTCCGCGATCCTTGCGGCTGGAACAGATTTGTCGGGGGGGCTCCCACTCGTCGTACAGAATGAGTCTCTGTCTACAATAATCGTTGGCGCGATTTCTTCCACGACGAACACTCTCTTCGTGGGGTTCTGCAGAGCGCGGGCGTTGTAGACATATGGATCTCGGCCCCAAAAGCCATCACGTCCGAGGAGGCTCTCGTCGTCCAGAGAATGCTTGCCGAGCGAATAGTGATCGCTATTCATATTATGTCATTGCGCTAATGCCGAGTCCGCTAGACGGCGATCCGAGCCGCCCGACACAGTTGATGAGCCGGTGCTCGCTCGGGGCTCGTTGAAACGTCTTGGACGAGACAGCGACAAACGCTCCCGGGCTCTCTGGGTGAGCGGGAACTCCGAACGCGCGGCCGAACACATTGCAGCAAAACGAATTCGAAGCGCGATCGCCGGAAACCAGTACAGCGCCTAGATCGAATTGACGAGATCAAAGTCGCTGCGCGTTCGAGGATTAAAACAGCAAATTCTTCTTCCCAGCGACCCATTCCTCGAGAGGGATTCTTTTGGAGAACAATAGGCGACAGGCTCGGGGGAGCTCCGTTCAACTTCCGGATTTCCTCGTCGATCTCAGGAGACAGGGCTGAGGGATCTCGACAGCGATGGTACGCTTTGCGTCAATGTGCATCTTTTATTTAACTAGAGGTCGCACGGTGAGACAAGCAACGCTGTCGGTGGCCTCAATTATGCGGGATCTAGCTTGCTCCGGGAACGAGATCGCGCAGCATAGTGACAGTATTGTCGTTATATCAACGGCAGATTCCGTATTTGGCCGGAGGCAAGAAGAAGACAAGAGAGAAAACACCCCTCATTAAAACCGGATGCAGGAAGGACTAGACGGGAGAAACTGGATAACCGTCTCACATACCTCCAGGCGGAAACAACAACAATCACACGGTCTTATGCTGCCGTCCAGGTGTCATGATGAATGCTACACGCCCTGTCAACTGATACATAACAGCGACAGCCTGACAAAGAGCTCGAGAGGCAGCCAGATTTGATGCCGACGCATAATCACGCATCATCTCGATCAAACGACAAAAAAAAGAGTGCAAGCTAGCCGCGTGTGAGAGGAGCTTTACCTCCACCAGTTCGCAAGGCTGCGCTGGCTTGTGGCATTCGCTCGAAAATATCGTCTGTCGCACAATCACTATCGCCGCCACGATAAACTTCGTGCCAACCGGAAGGAAGCGAGTGATGTTGAGGAACTTTTCTTCAATCGATCGCTTTCTCCCAGCGCCTGACGATAGCCTCTCCGCAAAGACCCGCTCACCAGGCACTCGCCAAGTATTTGTTTATGCTCTGATCTATTTCTTTGACGTACACGGCTTTTATCGATGCCTTTGATTGCGGTCATCGGGGTTCCGGTGAGCCGCTCCTGGGTCGCTTTGGTTCTACGTGGCCACCCACCCTAATTCGCGGACTAGTATACTGGTTCATCCAAACCGAGCCCGACACAGCGTCCACACACCCACAGAAACCTTGGTCACATCCTCGCGGTGACTTCTGCCAGCTCAGATTCAATCCACATCCCCAATACGGGTCTGCGGGCAGAGTCGGGGTCACGGCAGTGCGTAGGGACGTGCTCAGATTCAGCGAAGTCGTCGCCAATCGGAAGAACTCCTTCGGAAGAGAGACAGGACGGTTTCGTACGGTCGTTCACGGCGCCTGGGAATCGCTCGCCATTGGGAAACGGAACTTCTCGTTCTGAACCCCCTCCCCCCCCCCCACTAAGCGTGAAGCCTTGTGATGGCGTTGATCCCATCGCTCTTGCAGGTGTCGGTGTTGTCTTGACGTTCTTCACTGCTGCTGCTGCGGCCGCCACCGGCGCCACTATCTCTGTCGCCGCTGTTTCGGTGGTAGCCAAGCCCGATCAGTAAACAGGATTCCTGGGGGAGTTGTATGCACAATCTCTATCTCACACAGTCGTGGCCGGGGCCAGCAAAGGCGAGATGTCTGTCCCTATGATATCCGCTCGGCGGCGCGGCCACCGTGGATTTATTGGCCCATGGTTCACAGAGTGCACAAGAACCAACAGCCGGCCGAATGACAGCGGCGACATGTCTATTTTACCGCGACCGATGCGTGCATGCCAATCGACCCTAATGGGTGTTTGGGCTCCTGTTGACCCAGACGAATAAATATTTAGGCGTTCCGGGCAACCAGGAAGACGGAATCGAAGGCTTGTACTGGCCTCCTCTACGGAGACGATTTTCCTCATAATGTATCATTCGGCACGAATGAAATTGACCGCGATGCTCATCCATTGCCCGATAAAATACTCGAACATCGCGGCGTCCTCCGGCTACAATAAGTTCCGAGGAGAGATCCAGCAACTGTGATCTCCTACGGGAAAAGTCTGGCGCCGTCATTGCGAGGGAATGTTTGATATCATCCGTTCCCTCTCGATCCACGATTCCGGTACGAGCGATGCTTGTGAATTCGACAACTCACCGTTTTTGACAAGGCGGAATGTTTGTTGGTTGTGTTCCATAATGACATGACCACACGAGGGGGCGGCTACATCTAGAAGTGAATCGTGGAGTTCTCGGGAATCCTCCCTCGAACCGCGTGAAGAGTGCTGCAGCATTTGGTGACTGCTGGAAGTTGAACCTGTACTGGTTGTCGATCTCAGCATGGGACGGGACTCTCGGGCTGTTGCTGGTTCTCGAGACCCTCCCTCCTCGTGAATGGTCCGAAGATTATTACGGGCATCTCCCACCGTGGCAAACAACGGATTTGATCCATTTACTGATGACATTTTCCAGCGTTGTTCGTCCCGGATGACGCTATCCGTGACAACGCTCGGAGCTGTCAACTTCGAGCCTGGGTGCCTGGGCCGTTATAGCTGCTGTTCCTTCGTTTATTTACTCCATTAGTCGTCCGCTCCGGTTTCCTCACCGGTTCACTTGACTCGTTTGTGACGAGCTCCAATCAATGCTCGAGAGCACGCTGTGAATTTCATGAACGACTCGAATCGCCGCTTGAGTCGTAGTCGCTGTCTGAGGCTAAGGAGGCACCACACAGGAAGCATGTACGGGGACCTTGAGCAGGATTCTTGCCTGGTTGTCGTCGGGCTCTTGATTGACTGACCGATTGAGTAACTGACTGACTGACTGACTGGCTGGCTGGGTGGCTGACTGACTGACTGAGAGGATGATAGAGAGCAGACCAGGGACTGCAATTCGTTGGGGATATCATTCGTCCATTTCGCAAATAGGGAATCGGGCGTTTGTTTCGGAAAACAGCTTCTTCGGAGCGTCAATTGAGCGTGGGCGGTCGCTTCAGAGACGCATGAGTCCGGGGGACTGGCTTTTTTGTCGAGGTGATGATTCAGAGAACACTAGTCGTAAGAGGAATAGGCAGAACACCGAAAAGTTCGGAATTGTCGCGGAGCGTTCGACTGTCGTTGCCGCTGTCGTCGTCGTTGTTGTCGAGTGGATGACTCTCTTGTGGGGTTTCTTCGTTGAACTGAATCGTTTGGATATAAGCGGACTGCTCGGCAGCGGAAACGAATACATGCACGGCACACGTGCTCCAGACAAAGCGACAGCAACGCCAGCTGTAGTCCATAAACAGGTTAAGTCAACAAATAGTTAATTAGGACAACCACCACGACGACGACGACAACAACAACAAACACAACGACAATGGCAACAACGAGATTGGGGTCGAGGGCTCGATCGAGTGAATGGACTAGTTCGCACAGATCAGAACAACAACAACTACTACACAGTTGCTACATCGTAGAGTACAATGGCACGGAAGTTTCTGTCGATCAGTTCACCGGCATGTCGCCACCTGCGAGATTCGTCCAAATCATCAGCACTGGCTTCGTGACGAGTGGTCGACTGTTTATTCTACGGCTGCGGCTAGTCGTCAGCGAGTGCGTTCCTCGGACATCGCTGGGGTCGCTGTCGTTTTCCTGTTGCTCCCCGGGATTCGTTGTCGCGAGCCGACAGTCGCCACTCGCCTCCGAGTTCGATTGCTCGATAGTCGAGTTTAGGTAATGGCGACAATAAGGTGGTCGTAGCGAGGATTAGAACACAACATGTTGAACGCTTCACACACAGCTTGCAAAATCGGGAATACACGTAGAGTCTAGCAGGCGCCGGGCAACAGGAGGAGAGACCGCCAACGTGAGGAAGGGCAGCAGCCTCCCATAGAAAGGGAAACCTTCGGGGAAAGAGACCGACTCTCGCAAACAACTGTTGGCTTCTGTGTTCTTACCTTCGACCGAACGAGCGGCGGCCGAACGAACGAGCAAGCGAGCCAACCCTCCATTCGAGCGCTCTCTTTCAGCCCCTGCCTGTTCCTGCTTCTTCGTCGTCGTCTCTTTTGCTCGTCCCTTCCTTCCGTTCTGGTGAGACGGTCGTAAGAATCCTTCCTTCCCCTGCTTCAGCTCACACCGTTCGTCCTCCAGTTGTCTTCTCGATGACGAAGCAAGCGTGATGTTTCAGCTGTTCTTGTTCCCGTCGTGGCCGTCCGGTAACTTTCGCCGCCGCCATTAGTCGTCCAAGCAAGGCTAATTTCCCCGATCGCTCCAAGTAATCAGACCTAATGGAGGGAGCATCATCGCTCCGAGGCGCCTCTGGATGCTTGTTTGCCTTTGTTGCGTATCGAGTGACCGACGACAATCAGCCGAAAGGACTGACGAACAATCCTATCCCGTTGGCTGCCAAACAGGTCTGCCACGATGCGGGCTTCACGGTGAGTGAAGCCGTGGAGCGGTCACCGGGAACCAACGGGAACGGATACAAGCGGCTGACCGTTGGAACGGCACCACTGGATCAAGTCGCGACTTCAGCGGTCGCTCAGAGCCAGGGCAAACAGTTCTTGCCAGTCATCTCTTGCAGATACAGAGAAATCTCGGGTCAACGAATACCCTTACGACGATTTTTCAGCACAAGGAACAATTTTCCCCTCTACGAAGCAGGCTCGCCATAGAGACAATGATGGGAAACCTTCGCTGCAGCGAACTTGCATTGCAACGAACATAGGTATATTTTCTCGATCCAATGGGGTCCCATGTGAGGAGAATCCACGGCATCGCTCCATTCCCGTCGAGCACGGCAGTCACTCCGCGGCAAGAGGGGAGAATGAATAAATCATATCGTTACTAATGAAACGAACCCGCTGCTAAATAATCTCGATTTGGTGATCTTGAGAATATTCTGAAACGGCGAACGGACCATAATGCTATGAACACAGTCTCATTCCGGGGGAGATATCTGAAGTTTCAGAAACTTTGCCGTATCAATCGTTTGGAGCACCCGAACGAAGCTGCGAATTCGAAACCGCGACTTTTCTGCGACCCCGGTATCAATCGGAGGAGTCGATCGTATCATATGACAGGGCGAGTAGAGCACATTCGGCAGCTCGGCGAATGAATAGGTCGGGAATGTCCAGCAGGGAGCAATCCGAGTGAATATCCTTGTAGGGCCTTTCTCACATGTCTTCCCCTGTACAGGTGGGAAGACATGGATTCTCTTTGTCGGCGCCGGCTGGGCCCTCGAGCATCGCACGGTGCCCGAGAATCTCGGGACAGGTTAGCGAGACGAATCAGAAGAGACGCCCGCGGTTGAAAAGAGAATTGCGTCATTCTTACTTCTGAAAATCAACTTTGAGAGAGCTCCGATTCTCTCCTTGATTCATTGACCTTTGGGCAGGTTTCCAATCGCGTACCGCCGGCATGGGATTATCCACCCTTCCATTAGGCTTATCGAGTCTTCGCGGCCGCGAGTGAACACATCGAAGCAAGTTATGTTCCGTTTCTGCTACGAAGTGTCCGGTGTGAAATCAGGCTGGAGGCGGCGGGTAATTCCCGACTGGACGGGACGCCAGGGAAGACTCACGCCATACGACCATCGTCTTCCAATTGAGCTCGGCTACAGATGAGGCCATGAGTGTCAGACCAACTTTTCACCGGCATAGACGCGAGCTGCAAGTCGTCAACTATTCTGACAGGCCCGTGACCGAGCATGTAGGGAGGAGCTGAATGTACTTGGAATACAGATATCATACCGGACCGAATCTCTCACGGAAAAGCTGCGAACAGTCCCCGAAAGGCCTGCATGCGAATGTAGGTACAACAAATCGAAGCTTGAATGCATGAAGAGCGCCGAGCATTCTACATTCCTACAGGGCAGCTCAATCAGCATCCTGGAGGGAGGATCTCGACGACGAGATTGGAGGTTAGCATCGCGAAGTGATCACGGCGCCGTCGCCGGTGCGTTGCCGGTGAAGTGAACGCGAGAAAATTTCTGGTCCGCTCCGATCCGCAGATGAGGTGGGACTTAGAAGGAGCGTCCCATCTGGTACACGTTCTAGGCCGTATCCTCTTATCCGACCACATCACACTCCATTCCTATGGGTGATATCGGGAGGGTTTCAGTTAACAGCTATTTATCGAGCATTCGTCGGTGCCATCCGTGGGATTGGATGCCCTGACGAGCAGACGGCTTTGAAATCAAGGAATCTCGCCGCTGGGAGAGTTGAGCACAAACGTCTGGTGGAAGACACCGAGGAACCCGATTTGGACGACGAATCTCGGAACTCGTAGGGAGCTCTTGCTTGAAGACCTCCGCCTCGCTAGGAGTCTTCGAATTTCGGAGTTCTGTCCAGATTTGACTAGAAGTCTTCCAACTCCTCCTCAAGGCAAACGATTTGCCGGGGCACTATCGACTCATCCCGAATGCATGAAAGTTCCTATGTCTGTGACCTCCTGGAGAGAGCCACAATTCTTCGTTCGCGTCCCGAGGTTTCTTGATTTGAAAAGATGCTCGAGGATGTGTGCTCAATATGGAGGTGGTCTGTAGATCGTAGTTCTGCTCCGAGTGAGCTTCGAATGCTAGCCAGGAAAGGCTGTCCGAATCGGACAAGAGCGTCAGACCCCAGCCAGAGCAGTGGGCGTGGTGGACGACACCCGTGTCCTGCCTGAACGTCATCGGTCTTCGGATATGGTCAGAGGCTGAGGCTTGCGTCGACCGAAAATCTGCGACTTACGTAACTCATCGACGATTCGCGTTGGCTGATTCCGAACCGATCAGGCCAGCTTCAAAAAATGGTCTCTCGGACACTCGACGCAGGTCCGGCCGAAGTCACTTCCCACATCCCCTGCGATTCAATTGAAGGACACTGGCTACAGATGTTCTGGCGCGGGTCGGTGGTCACCGTGCTCCGACCGACATCTCAATCATTATCTGGCGACCTTCATGTTTAGCTGCTGGAATTCGAGGAGGTTACCCGCGAAAGAAATAGAGCGACTGAGAGACCTGATGAAATACCTACGGTGCCGCATCCTGAGGGTTGCTTTTCCGTCGAAGAAAAGTACGTCGGAGTGATAGGCATGGGACTCGCTCAAGTAGGTAACAGGCGGATTCTTTCTCTCACATGGGGGAAATATCTCCGACAAGACGGGTGAACAACGAATGCCAATATCCTCCCGGAATTACTCAACAGCAATAGAACCGCAGACAGATCGACGGTCCGGCAAACAGACAGACCAGCCGAAAGATCGGCGGAGCGCGCAATCGTCTTTCCAGCGGCGACTTGTGCGAAGACCGCTCCTTTTTCCCGGACCTCCATCGCAGGCGCCGTGCCGCCGTAATCCCCTTGTTTTCGTCACCGGATCCGATGTTCTTGTAGAGATCACAACGCCGCCTCGCGGGCATCGATCCAAGCAACCACTTGTGGAATGCAACGAAGTCTCCGTCGATGGATGAGGAACGAAGTCGACTATAGAAAAATACCCTTTCCCTC